AGTACGAGAATTTGGTAGGAGTCTGGGTAATGCTCGGTTTTTATTGAAAATGAACCAAATTAGTGGGAGCAGTGAACCCACGTAAATGTGAATGTGCAAGAGATTCAGATTGAAAATCCAACTCAAGGGGATTTTCCTAATGTCTCTTCTTCGTTGTTGTTCAACTTTTGTTGTATCACGGTTTAACAACATGGTTGAAACAACAAACCAACATTCCGAACCCACAAAATACCAATATAAATGATGAAACCAGTAAATAAATTGACAATTCACCGAATGATCAAGTGGTTTCACAGGAATAGCATTAGCGGAGGTACAAAGGCAAAAGAAGGCCAGTATTTCTAGTGATTATGTGGTTTATCTCACTTAAGCATGAAATGTGAAAATTGAAGCATTGAATAAGGATCCCAGTCTCTTTCCGAAAGCCATGGAAATGTTGAAATAATTCCTGAAAAGTGGTTTTATGCCATGAAGGAAGAAATGCAATCAATGAGTGATAATCAAAGTTTTTGGGGATTTAGTCGAGTTGCCTGAGGGGTCAAAACAAGTTGGTTGTAATGGGTTTTTTCAAAGACCCAAATGGGACTCTAAGGGCAACATTGAAAGATATAAGGCAGACTTGTTGCTCCAGACTTGTTGCTAAAGGTTACACTCAGAAGGATGACATTGATTATAAAGAGACCTTTTCTCCAGTTTCCAAAAAGGACTCTTTAAGAATTATTTTAGGTTTGGTGGCTCATTATGATCTGGAGCTTCACCAAATGGATGTAAAGACAGCCTTTCTTAATGGTAACTTAGAGGAGGAAGTATATATGGACCAACCAGAGTGGTTTGTGGTCACGGGAAAGGAAAATTTAGTGTGTAAGTTAAAGAAGTCAATATATCAACTGAAGCAAGCTTTCCGTCAGTGGTATCTTAAGTTCAATAATACCATCACTTTATATGGTTTTATAGAAAACACTGTTGATCAGTGTATTTATATGAAGGTCTGTGGGAGCAAGCTCATCATGTTAGTCCTATATGTTGATGACATTCTTCTTACTACGAATAATGTTGGGTTGTTGCATGATGTAAAGGGTTTTCTCAAAGGGTTTTTCCTCTCAAAGAACTTTTGAATGAAAGATATGGGTGAGGCATCCTATGTGATAGGAATAGAAATATTCCGTAATAGATCATAAGGATTGTTAGGATTGTCTCAAAGAGCTCACATTGACAAGGTATTAGAGAGATTCAGAATGGAAAAATGCTCTGTAGGAATAGTTCCAATTCAAAAAGGAGATAGGTTCAACGAAATGCAATGTCTTAAGAATGATTCAAAACATAAAGAGATGGACTCTATTTCCTATGCGTCAGTAGTTGGGAGCTTAATGTATGTTCAAACATGCACTCGACTAGATATTAGTTTCGCCGTAGGAATGTTAGGGCGATATCAAAGTAATCCCGGGATGGACCATTAGAAAGCTGCAAAGAAAGTACTTAGGTATTAGCTGCAACGAAAGTACTTAGGTATTTATAAGGCACTAAGGATCATATACTCACTTATAGAAAGTCTAGCCATATAGAAGTGGTGGGATACTCGGATTCAGACTATGCCGGTTGTGTAGATTCTAGAAAGTCTACATTTGGCTACTTGTTTCTCCTAGCTGTAGAAGCAGTATCATGGTAAAGTGGAAAGCAGTCTATCATTGCTACTTCCACAATGAAGGCTGAATTTGTGGCATGCTTTGAGGCCACTGTTCAAGGATTATGGTTGCGGAACTTTGTATCAGGTCTAAGCATTATCGACAGTATAGCTAAACCGTTGAGAATTTACTATGATAATTCCGCAACTGTCTTCTTCTCTAAGATGACAGGTACTCTAAGGGTGCAAAGCACATGGATTTAAAGTACCTATCTGTGAAAGAAGAAGTGCATAAACACAAAGTGTTAATTGAGCATATCGATACTGATCTTGATCTGATGATAGCGAATCCGCTAACTAAAGGCTACCGCCCAAAATCTTCACTGGCCGATTGTTGATAGGATGGCATTATAGATAAGTCCTTGTTTAGCAGATGTTTAAACTTGTATAATAATTATACTATATATATATAATATATATATACACATTACATTTGGTTTATTTTTGCTCATATTATTTGTGACAACTTTGGAATTCAATTAAGATGTGTGCTTATTTATGTGTTATCCACATTTATAGTTAGTCTACAATAATGGTTGTGAGTGAGGATTAACAATAACATATTGGACTGTGACAATGTAATTGTTTGTTGAATAGTTTTCTCCATTTAAAGTCTTAAGAATTTGAGGTGGTCTATGATTATTATGGAAGGAATCATGTCGATTAATGACTGTGTGACTGCCATAATCCGATCATTTTAATTCTAATTAAGATTTAAAACATGATAAAGATTCAAGAAATGCACATGGGCCAAGTGCGGAGATGATACGAATATTAATTAATCTGAGTGGCCCATGTGAATTAAAAGGGCTGGTTTATTAAGGGTAAGAACAAGATTGATGTGTTATTGGGGTTAATATAATAAGGGCAGTAGGGTTTTAAATACCCATTGTTAGATTATTTTAATAATCTGAGTGGCCCATGTGATTAAAGGGCTGGTTCTAATTAAGGTGGCCCAAGATGATGGTTATTGGGCTTAATAAATAAGGGCTAGTTAGGGTTTTAATACCCTTCCTCTGCCTTATAAAGCAAAAAGGAATCAGCAGCTTAGGATTAACACAGAAAAGAAAACAAAACAGAGAGTGTGATGGCTGCCTCAAACACATACGGTGATAGCTTGTTTGAGAGAGTGTGAAAAGAAACTCCTGTAACGGTTGATGATTCTCTGACCATTGAGAGAAAACTTACGAACAAAAGGCCAGAGGAAGAAACATAGATCTGCTGTTACGATGAGAATCAAATTGCCGCAACGAGATAATCCATAAGATAGATCTGCTGTTATAGATTAAGGTATGCTTTCGATTATTGTATATTCCTGTCAAACAAATTCTATGAACAATAGATCTAGGCTGTATTAAAGATTATTTAACATGTTCTTATTTCACGTCCTTCTTCGAATGGGAGAGAGCCTGCGTCACTGGAGGATGGGTTTAAGAGTGTAGAGAGGATTCTAAAGAGAAACGACGTGCCAAATTGTCTTCTAGGATTGCTTCTGGAGAATTCATTGTACAGGAACCTGGTTTTCTATCTGTATTGAGGAAGGGCTTGTCAAAATTGGGGGTTCCAAATGAGATTTTGGAATTTTTGTTCAAATTTGTTGATGCCGGTGAAGATTATCCAAAGATTCCAGTGGCAAAATTAGTGCCATTAGGAGCAAGGCATTCTTCATATCCTTATATGAACTTTATCTCACTTATGGTGGGATTTTTAGATTGACTTTTGGACTTAAGTCTTTTCTAATTGTTTCTTATCCTTCTATTGCTAAACATATACTGAAGGATAATTCAAAGGCTTATTCAACGGGTATTTTGGTAGAAATTCTGGAATTTGTGATGGGGAAAGGACTCATTCCAGCTGATGGAGTAATATGGCGTGTTCGGCGGCATGCTATAGTTCCAGCATCACATCAGAAGTATGTAGTAACCATGATTAGCTTGTTTGGCCAAACAACAGATAGGCTCTTCTTGAAGTTAGATGTTGCTGCATCTAATGGGGAAGACATTGATCATGCTTTGTTGGATTTCTTGATTAGTGAATTCATAAAAACTGAAGGAAGTGACCTGTTAAAGCATGAGGTTGTTCTATAGAGACCGCAAGAGCTTGGCTAAATTTCTGTGTATATATACTCAGGGAGAGATGCTATTCAACCTATAACTTCTGTGCTATTATCATTGAGTGAAGATGATGGGTATAGAAGCAATTTTATCACTAGAATTGGTGGAATCCTGAGTATAATTAGGATCGATTTGCTCATTCTATATAAGATTGTCTCTCATCTTCTTTTCTTAGTTGGATGTGCTACTAGATATTTTATAGTCTTAAGCACGAAATGGATACAGCAGATACAAGTTAAGATTGTCCAAATGTTGTCAAGTTCCGTTTTTCTTATTTTCACATGCTGCCACTTGAATCTAATGCAGTTGTTAACGCTCATTTTCAGCTTGAGGACAAGCTGTAACTCAAAGGGAGGGGTATTGTCAAGACTATTTAGGATATATTAGTTGCAAGTACAATTGAGAAGTAATTAATTAATCAAGTACTAAACTCATATTAGTGTTTAGCGTGCATATATATAGTCTTGTATTGAGATATAGATTAATCAATTAATGAATGAATAAACTATCCTTCAATTTTCTATTCTCGCTCTCTCCATTCTCTATTCTTCTATTTTCTGTCCCTTTCTCTTCTTTTCTCATTCCCCAAACAACTACTATTATGCTCTTCTCACGTGAAAAATTAAGATCTATAATCTATGATCCTAATAGGATTAAAGTTGACCGGATAACTATTATAAAAAAAATTTTAAATAATTATTAAAAAAGGAACGAATGATATTTTTTCATTTTTTGAAATCATAAATGTTACTTAAAATATTATTGAATAATTAGTAATGATAAAACTGTAAATTAGTAACAATGACATTTTCTTTCCTCTGTTCCATTTTTCTTCGAATCCAAACATAAAGTGAAAAATAAGGGAGAATAATAATTCAAACAAATTTTCATTATTTTCCTCTTTTATTTTACTTTCTCCTTTATTTTCTTTCCTCTCTTTCTCAAACATAATTTCAATTTATAATTCAGGCGAATCATAAGCTAATATCAGGGAGGCTTTTAGATTGTTTGAGCGAGAGTTAGTGGACAAATAGAGCCAAAACACAATTTTGTAAGGCAAAATTGTGCAAACGTAAGGTTTCTTCGGAAAAAAAAAATTCCGATGTGGGCCTTACACGAAGGTGTGACACATCTAGAACTTTCTGATGGAAAAAATTTAAAGACATAAAAATAAAAATAAAAGAGAAAGAAAAAGAAAAAAAAAATATTTTAGATGCGTGCATGGCATGGAAGACAACATGTATATAAGGAAGATAGAGCTTGGCCTTTGATTGACGATTTCAATCGCGATAACAGTCCTTTTATTTCTTCTTCGTGTACCAAACCCCCTATACCGGTGATCTTTAATTCTTTTTGAGATTTAAGTTATACTTTATAGAATTCCTCTTTTTCTGAATTCTTTTTGAGATTAGAAGTGGAGTAGTGCTCTGATTGATCTATTGGCGGCTGATTAGGTTTTCGTATGATTTTTGAGTTGGAATTTCAGTATATACTTCGATCATTATGGTTGATTATCAGTATATACTTCGATAATTATGGTTGATTATCTATCTTGAAAGAAGGTCTTTGTTTTGTTAAACCTTTCTATTTGCCAAGTTAGGGTTTTTGAGATTTTTCACCACAATTTTTTTTTTTTTTTTTCTTTTGAGATTTTGCGTTAGAATAAATCTTTTAGTAGTGGGCATGATTGATTTAATTTGTGGGTAGGATTTGTTTTTTCTTTTTTATAATTATTGGGTTTAAGTCATTCTCACAATTTAATTACTTTTAAAACGTGCTTGAGCTGAGTAGTCCTCCCCTTTCCACTTAATCTTTGCATATGATCTTCGTAATTTTGTGATTGATTTTCTTTTACAGTTGATATTTTGAAGTTAAGAGTTTTGGGATGGCTTCAAAGCGAATTAACAAGGAATTGAAGGACTTGCAGAAGGACGCTCCAGCATCCTGCAGTGCAGGTTTTTGTTTACTTTACCATACAATTGATATTGATTAATTAGTTATAAGAAGCTATTATTATCCCTTTTTATTTTAAATTGCTTTAGTAATATATGATTCTGAATTTACATATATTTGTTTTAGGTCCTGCGGGTGATGACATGTTCCATTGGCAAGCAACTATAATGGGTCCAACAGACAGCCCATATGCTGGAGGTGTATTCTTGATATCTATACACTTTCCTCCTGATTACCCATTCAAGCCACCCAAGGTAAAAACACAGACGCATACATATTTAATTCTTAATTTTTAGTATTCTTTCTGTTTAAGATTATGAATCTAACAGTATTGCCATTCAAATAAGTTCTGTGATTATTATGTGAACATATTGCTTTCTGTCAAAGTTTAACCTCTATTATGAAATGTTTAGTTAGACATAGACACATATATACAGTTCGGAACAAGAATTTAGAAATAGAGCTAAATTTTAAATACTGGGGCTAATATTTATGTTTTTTTAAAATATAAATAAAATTTAAGAGAGAAATATTGTATTTTGAGGAGCGGCCCCTGAACCTATGAGTAGTTCAAACCCTGCGTGTATGTTTGGTAGTTTCCCTAAGTAAGCTATTGTTCTGGAAGGATTTTTAACCAATTTATTGTCTTCTCTGGTGAAAAAGCAATATTTTGGTGCCAATAATCAATACAGCATTGGAAAGGATTTCTAATTGTAACGTATGTGCTTTTATTGGTCACTGGTTTTTCATTTAATTCAGTTTGTGATCGCTAAAAGTTTCAGTAGATCACTAATAGAAATTAAACTTTAGCATTAATGAAGTCAATGGATACTAGATGGAGTGTTTTTCTTGTCACTTTCTTTGAATGATTTTTCAAAATTTGATTGTCTTAATTAAACTTGAGAAACCAGTGACCACACGTGTAATTTATCCCACCGGTTGGAATTGGGGAGCGTTTGCTGAAAGACAATGAAAATCAATAGTTTGGTAACTGGTTTCACTAAATTTATTTGTTGGACTAAGTTGTTGTTTGTCAAATTCATTTATTTGGTCATCAATCAAATAATGACGTATTTATGATCAAATGAAATGTTTTGACTAGGTTTCTTTCAAGACAAAAGTTTATCACCCAAACATCAATAGCAATGGGAGCATATGCCTTGACATTCTCAAGGAACAATGGAGTCCTGCACTTACAGTTTCAAAGGTACATATTTTGCTTCTTTAATTACCTCATATCGTATATAATATTGCTAGTTTATTCTTTGGTTATCAGCATTATTGTTGTTGCAATTTGAGGTAGGGTGCTACCTTAACTATTAAACATTAATAAGGTGTTGCCTTAGAATATTTTTGAAGGAAATGGTGCCGAAATTTCAGTCTCTAACCTCTTAAGATACGATACAGACTCTTGATTATTGAACTGTTAGCATAATGCCACTATATTTTCGTCCACTGAATATTGCAGTTATAGGTCAGATGTTGCAATACAAGTTAGGATGCTACTGTTAGCCTCTGTTTCGGATTAAGCATGGAGCAGCTATATCAGATTTTTGTTTTGATTTTTTTTCATGCATCTCTAAAATTGTTTTTAGGTATCGAAGGACTTGGGAAAAATCTAAGCTAGTCTTTCTCAAACCATGGTTTGATAAGCTTTAGAATGCAATTTGCCATAACAGTCCAATAATCCCAAACAGATACTTAAATATTGTGATGCTTTTCTATAAATTAGAAAATTTTTAAGAATAGAGTGTCAAAACTTGAATCTCCTAACCTTTTTAATACAATTCAGACACTTGAGTAGTGAATTATTTGATCAATAGCACTATTTTGCTTAATTTTTTATGTAAATTTACTTTTGCAGGTTTTATTGTCAATATGTTCTCTGCTGACAGATCCAAACCCAGATGATCCTTTAGTGCCTGAGATTGCTCATGTCTATAAGACAGATAGAGCCAAGTATGAGACTACAGCTAGATCATGGACCCAGAAATATGCTATGGGGTAGAAGCCAATTTATTTGCTTAGATTATAGATTTTGGTGGTATAAATGGGTTTTCTTGGGTTCATGTTTACCATTTGTTAAGTAGCATATGCAAACAAAACTATATTTTTTTATTTGCAGCTTAATAATCTATTAGACATTTAGGTTTCTCAGGGTATTTATTTATTTATTTATTTATTTTTATTTGCAGCTTAATAATTCTATTAGACATTTAGGTTTCTCAGGGTATTTATTTATTTATTATTTATTATTTATTAACTTTGCTTTTCTATTTAGTTGCTTGATTTTGGTGGTATAAATGGGTTTTCTTGGGTTCATGTTTACCATTTGTTAAGTAGCATATGCAAACAAAACTATATTTTTTTATTTGCAGCTTAATAATCTATTAGACATTTAGGTTTCTCAGGGTATTTATTTATTTATTTATTTATTTATTTATTTACTTTGCTTTTCTATTTAGTTGCTTTTTGGACATTTCTTTCCAAAGTTTTGTCTTATACTTTGTCTTAGGTGTATCCATTGGCACGTTGAGTTCGAAACATATTCGACTAACATGTTGCACAACGCGATTAGGGTCAATACAAACACGATACAAAAATTAAATAGGTAATGGGAACACGAAACGTGTAACTTGCCATAAGTAGGTTAATTGGGTTGTGTCGATCTGTATGCGATTCATTTAACCTGTTTAAGATATTTTTAAGTTATTTAATTTAAATCATATTTTAAAATAAATTTTATATATAAAATACATAGATTCTCCAAGATGCGTAACTCAAATAACAAAAAATTAATATAACAATAAAGTTTAAATATGATTTTAATTAGGTATTTATATTTAAATAAAAATTATCTTTTTTACATAAAAATAAACGAGTTATTGGTTTAACTCGTATGTCTAATCTATGACATGACAAATTTATATTTGTCATAAATGATCCATTCGTGTGTTAAGCGAATTGTGTTTGCGATTCATGACCATTTTAATACCTATGAATAGAAATAGCTCCTCAGTCATTTGTTTATTTGCCTTTGGTCCATAATCTCTCTCAGTTTATTTGCCTTTAGATCCTAGAGGTGCATCTTTACTAATATAGCTATTAAGCATATATTGGATTGGATTCCTTTTATCATTGAAATTCAATTCATCACAATCAATCTTTCTTTCACTTGGTGGCATTGGGTATGTCTGAAAAAATAAATGGATTTTTCTTTAAGAAAATTTATAGAGTATAATAAGAGAAATCAAAATCTTCTATTTGAGATAATCATGACAGAATAAAGGAACTGATACGCAAAATGAACTGGCAAGCAAAGCACAACAATAGATTGCCTTAGGCCTCATCAATCGAGGTACGTAGTCGCTATAGCGAAACTATTAGAAGGAAGACATATTTACAATTCCAGTTCAGTCAGTCTGCAGCTTCAGTCCCGCTCATAGATAATAGAGTTAAGTTTGATATAAGTAGGGTCGATCTCCCCTCCCTATTAGAGAAGGCTAGGTTCAAGGGTTGGTCGAGTCACTTACATACCTCTCGCTATCGCTCAAACCTTCCTCTCCCTATCGGATTAATCTTCCCGATTAAAATCGATATTTCATCACAATGGATGATAAAAGATAGTTTTTGCAATTTTACCCATACTATTTTGCTTCATTAGTAAAAAAAGCTTACTCTAAAGTCTCCAACTAATAAAACGGAGATAAAAGACAAACATAAAAATGATTCAATGGAAAAGTAGAAAACACAATAAACGAGAAACACACACCCATTAAGAGATAAACATAAAAATTTCTATTAGAACTAATATCCGATTTAATTAGTTTGAATTTATTTTACGGATTATTATCCATGCTACCCCCAGGATTTGCTTAGGGTGCAATATTTGCCCATATCGACAGATTTTAGTTAAGGAGCCAATTTTTTACTATTACATTGAAACATTATAATCTTACACATCATTGGTCGAGATACACAACTGCTGCTCAGTTTATTAGTCAAATGATTGGGCAATGCATAAATTCACTCCTGGATTTTATGTAAAAAATTTTATGGCACCGTTAATGTTTACTTTGACCTATTGAACACTTTAATATATAAATTATAGCAATTAAATAGTTTAATCCGTAAAAATTATTTTATTGAATAATTAAACTTTTAAAATTAATAAATACTTATTAGATAATTGAAAAAAATTATTGTTCTAAAGACACTAAAAATGTGAATATCTTGCACATAACTGCCAAAATCACTAAATAAATATTATTATTAATATATAAATAGATACAGTGTTAACAAAATTTATAATTTTAAAGATTAATAAATCACTCGTACAGTTTAAAATATCATGAATTTTTTTTTTCTATAAAATACATGGATATATTTATGCATTTGGTATCAAATGACCAGATAACTTGTCTTCCGCATATTAAATTTTTGCATATATGAAAAAGCAAAACAGAAAAGTATGCCAATCAGGAAGTGCCCTTCTAGAGCATTATGTGTCAATTTAGAAGGACTCTTCTTGAAATTTCCTGTCTTTGATTTCATTGCCTTTCCTTGTACATTAAACTGAATAAAATAACACAACATATGCATAATGAAATAAAGAGAGAGAGAGAGAGAGAGAGAGTCCAAAAACATAATGAATGAGAGCCAACCTAGCAATGTCAACCAACCATTAAAATCCAAGAAATAATAATCCATTACTTTATAAAATCCCTAATCATCTTTTGCTAGATAGGGATGGGTCATTACTCTTTCAAAGACTACCAACTTTTTATTATTTATGACAACAAGTGTATTGTCTGACTAATTTAAAGTATGTATTGATCCTTTTTTTTTAGTCCAAGAATGCATTTCCATGAACATCTGCAAAATTAAGAATTATCTTCAGAAATTTTATATGAACTTATGAAATTTATTCACAGATTCACGTTTTTGAGTTGAGTATGAATTTATGAAATTTATTTACAGATTCATGTTTTTGAGTTGAGTATAAATCAAAATTCATTTGGACTTTCACAATTTTAATTGTGTACTAAATGCTAAGAAATTTGATAGAATTTCCAAGTTAATTTTAAACTTAAAAGGAGTACAAGTACTAAAATTAATGAATTTTAGTTGCAAATAAGTTTTTTTTTTAAAATGAATTTTATGGTTAAACCACATGTGAAAATTCACTCATTTATAGATAAATCACTGTACCAATGAAAAATTCCCAAAGAAATAGTTAATAAAATGGAAAACTTCCATTTAACAATTTAGCACACCTTTTCAATTTACAGAACATGTTCAGTAAAATTAGTTGTTTTGGTAGATATTAATTGTTTTAGTAGCGTTTATCTATTTTAGTAGCAGTTAGGTTTTTATATAGTCTTTCATAAAACGATATTAACTTTTAAAAAGTTAGTTCAAACGTTATGTTACTTAATATTAAAAAAATAACAATTAAAACGCTAAAAGCAGTTAAAAAAAGTGTTGCAGAGCACAGCTACACAAACATGTATAAGAGATTTGACCTCAATTGATTAGGGACCATATTCTTCCTATGTCTCTTTCTCTCCTTGTCCATACACCCATGACTCAAAGCATCAAACAGCTGTATATGCTCACACAATACCAATTAAAGAACCTAATAAAGTATGAAGAAGAAACCTCCAAAAAGACACCAAATAATTTTTCTCTCTGGCACTCAACTTAAAATCTGTGATATTTACTCACAATCTTTGCATGTGAATCATTAAATATAAAAGTAAAATAAAGGGTAGCTCTTTAAAGTCTATATAAAGCCACATTTTGCTATCACTGACGTCTCAAACCAAAATCTCTTCTGCATCAACCTTATCATTTTATCATATCTACATAGCCAAGAAGATGAAGCTACCTTTGATTTTTGTTATTGCGATTCTGCTCCTTGAGGTACATTTTTGCAGCTAAAATGATTATGCAGTAACATTGTTTAAAGTAGTGTAAAATTCTAAATGCGATTTGTACTTTATTGTACTTCATTTTGCAGGCCTTCTTGGGGCATTCATTTGTTAATAATGCTCCAAATTCTCCAGCCAATGTGAGTCTCTTTTGTTTCAATTTAAGATTTTGAAATTGGGTTTATTCCCTTTTATTATTTTTAAACTTTAGTTAGGTGTGTTATTACGTTATCTTACATTCTGTTTGTAGATTGATGAAGGAATTAATGTAGCTGCAATTGACAAGAAGCATCATCATCAATATCATCATAAGAAAATTAGTAAGTTCATTCCAATTGGTTTATTTCGGTTTGTCTTTTTAAAAAAAAAAAAAATCGATTTTTGATTTCCATTTTCTCGAAAAAGTTGAAAATTTGCTTTGATTTGGTTCAGTTTTTCTTTTATAAAAAGTCGATGTATTCAGTTTAAGTGGAGTAGACGGAATGCTCAGATTCCATTTATCACAAAGTATAAAATGTTTGTATATCATCTAAGAATTTTCATTTCTTTGGTGATTGTGGCTCAGATTGCGGCTATGCGTGCTCGAGGAGATGCAGAGAGTCATCGAGAAAGAATGTGTGTCACAGAGCATGCTCAACTTGTTGTGCGAGGTGCCATTGTGTTCCTCCAGGTACCTATGGGAACAAGCAAGCATGTCCATGTTATGCAAGCCTCAGAACCCATGGAAATAAGCCTAAGTGCCCTTGAAAGTTCATATATTATGTCTTTTAATTTATCTATTTTAATGTGCTAATTACTTGTAAGAGAATAAGATCAAAGCAAAGCATAAAGCCCTATGTATATGTACTTCTTTTTAGTTTGTTCCTTTCTTTATATTAAAGTACTGTATTCAATTTGGAACTGATTTTGGATATAAAATTTACGGCATAGTTAATAATTTAATATATGCAATTAATAAATATTGAAAATAGGATTGTTCAAATTGAGTTGCGTTCGGCTTGATTTCAAATAACGCTTTGTTTTATTTTTTAAACACATGCTGAAGAATGAATTCCTATAGCATACAAAATCTGCCAGCCTTTTTTCAGCAGCACTAATTGAAAGCATATGCTACTAAATAGTCTCACCTTTACCATAAAATTAGATATCATCAATTTGATTACCGCACTTGATATTAATTTGTTATGTGAATCATTTTGCTTAACTCTGTTATATATGCATAGATTTGATGTTTACGTATGTGTGTGCGCGTGCGCGTGCGCGTACATATATTCGGTCTTTAGTAACCCAGTAAGAATTTATTAGATATTTTTTGAGTACATAAATTTGAATTTTATCAAAATTTCTTGAATTGTTGAATAGAAACATAAATGATCTCTTTAATTATAAGATTTTCAATTGGTACTTCACTATCATGTAAATAAAACTCAAACCATACATACAACTATAATGCTTCTAGTAGTTTTATGGGTCTTATTAAATTATTTAGTATAGGTAAAATTAAGGGCATTTATGCCTGCCTCCATGGGTGGTCATGTTGGCATAACAAGGGCAGACATCTTCGTTGCCGGCAGTTCCGGGCGGGACACAATTGCACCTCTCGCAGCATGTATTGCATGCCCTGATGCACATCTTGTGCCTTGATGCCTTGCTGCACCTATAATTACACTTGGATCCGCAATCTGAATTCAACATCATATTTATTTAATTAGTTAATTATTGTAATTCTGCTTTTTTTTTGGAAGATCATTGTAATCATGTTTACTTGCTCAATTGATTGCCAAAAATTAATTAATTAACATGTTAGTAAATTAAAAATTTCGATGTCAGTTCAGTTCATAAAAAAATATTGGCCTAAAAGTTTAGATTTTATATCGAATTGATTGACAGGGCTAAACCAACAATCTCGAATTATTTTTATTTTTAAAAAAGAGAGAAATTAGAGAAAATAAATAAAAGGATCCAACTAAAGTCAGGAAGACAACCAGAGGATTATTGTCAAGCTTGGAATTTGCTAAAGCAAGATCAAAATACAGATAAAAATCAATTCTAATCCCAATTTAAATTTCAAAAGGTCTTGAACCGCCCAACTCGAATAAAGAGTTGATAAAATATATTTTTTACATAATACTTGGTTTAGCATTTTGTAGTATCATTTTAAGAATTTGTACTCTACTTATTGATTTTACTAATTTCATATCATGATTCAAAAGATAAAAATCGACTTTTCATTGAACCCTAAAATTTTTTTATAGAACTCCTTCCCTTCTTCCAATTATTCAATCAATTACTTGTTTGAAACGTTAGACATGCTGTTAATCTATCTCACGTGTGTATTCACACAAATACTGATCAACATAATAGTCCCCAAAATAATTAAACAATATTAGAAATAAAAAGTATTATTTTAATAATCCACTTTGATGGATAAAGTTAATACCTATTTTTTCATCTTCTGCATTGATCTTGAGCTGAAAATTATCAACAAAACAAAAAAATTTTTGATTACTAACTACAAAAAGATATAGAAATCAAGAACCAGAACAAAATTAATTAAAATCTAGAAATCAGTGAAAAGGGAGAATGTGTATATATAACCCTTAAAAACACTTACCTCGTGAATTAAGATGACACAGAGTATTGCCAAGACAAATGTTGTTTTGATGTTGGCCATTTCAGGATTTCTTAGCTCAAAAATTAGAGAAGGAGAGGATTTGGTAATGTAAGAGCCTCAAAGGGTATGCCTTATAAAGGGTGCTCATCAAGTATGAAGTTGTCTTCTACATGCCTATGTATCATAAGTAACTGTGTTTTATCTAACAAACTTCCCTATTTGTTTTGTTTCTCTTTCAAAACTTTAGCCCTTAGTGGTGTGTGTGTGTATATATATATATATATATATATATATTGAATTATCTGTGCATTTTTTACAATATAGTTTACTTTTTCTTCTTTTTTTTTTTATCAGCAAAGAAAATTTTTATTTAAAAATTAAATAGAAATAAAAAAATTATTTTCAGGAAAAATAATTCAACTAGCTAGTTTACTACACCCACTCCATTAGGCTTTTTCCAATAAACCCTATCCGATCTTGAAAAGTTAAGTAAAATACATACAATAAATAACACAACATACAAAAGTAAATAGCAGCAGCAGTCTGATATGAAACGGTTTGTTTTTTTTTAGGTTTCCTTTACTATTTTTAGGTACGAGACTAATTTGATTTATGTCAATGTCTACCTCTCACATAAGTGTTTTTCATAGATCAAGCCCTCTATCTTATAAAGAGATGTGAACTTAAATGTAACTTACCCATTAGAGCAACTCTTTAAGGATTAATATGAAATGATTTATTAATGATAAGTCAAATATATCAATTAGCTTTAATTTACGGGTGGAACCAATGCTTTTGAAAATTCTACAATTATCCTTAAATTTTGTATATTTTTTCAATCTGGAAACAGCCTTCTAAAACTTTTTATGCAGACTTTGGCCTTTAAATTTAGTATTTTAGCTTCACCTCTTTCACAGTTTTTAGATTACAATTTAAATCTACTTAAAGAATATCATTTTTTTTTAAAATTTAACTTTATCGTGGCATATATAGTGTTTCTCATCTCATGAAAATTGATGTCAATGGAAATGAGTCCTATATATGGGTTTCATAACAGCTTTTAATGCCCACAGAAAGCTTCTTTTCTTTCTGACTTTAATAAAGGATATGTACGGACTAATGGTTATGGTTATGACTATAATTATTATTACTTAGGATATTGCTTAATAGTGTATATTCGTCATGCAAGGGTAATAAAGGCTCCCTCAAACAGAAGTGCATCCCTAAAAATGGGCTAAATTATTAAAAATACCCCAAACTTCATTGATAGTTTAATTATACCGTAAATTTAATTTTTTTTTTCTTAGTACCCTGAACTTTAATTTTAGTTATAATAACACTTTAATTTTAAATTGTACTCCATTTACTAAATAAAATATTATTTTTGTGGGACTCAGTTTAACCTTTTCCCCTAAATTAGGCTCCTTCTCAACCATAGCTTATAAATAAATAAATATAAATATTAAAATAAAAAATAATCTATTCATCTTAAAAATAAAATACTTTTATTTATTTATCTAATATTGACAACAAGTAATTATTCCCTAAAAATAAAATGACGCCATAATGAATAAAATCTATTTTTATAAGAGATTTAATCTGAGTATAAACAAAATTCCACGCTTAAAAAATAGCAAAACAAAAACCTAAACTAATAGTTTATGCTTATAACGAACTAAAATTTATTATGTTACTTGGCTTTTTATGAATTTAAATTCCTAAACAATATTAGTTAGGGCATTTTTAAAAAGTGAATTTTTAGTTAACCTGATTATAAGGGAGAGTGTAGATCTAACGAAAATAATATTTTTATTCATGAAATTGGATACAATTTGAAATTAAGTGCTATTATAACTAAATTGAAGTTCAGTATGCTAGGAAAAAGAAAGTTAGATTTAGGATATAATTAAAACTACTCGCAAAGTTTGAGGTATGTTTAATGATTTAACTCTAAAAGTGAGTAGCTAAACAACATTTCAAAGTAAAAGCCTGTGAATAGGAAAAAGAAAGTTAGATTTAGGATATAATTAAAACTACTCGCAAAGTTTGAGGTATGTTTAATGATTTAACTCTAAAAGTGAGTAGCTAAACAACATTTCAAAGTAAAAGCCTGTGAATAGGAAAAAGAAAGTTAGATTTAACAACATTTCAAAGTAAAAGCCTGTGAATAGGAAAAAGAAAGTTAGATTTAGGATATAATTAAAACTACTCGCAAAGTTTGAGGTATGTTTAATGATTTAACTCTAAAAGTGAGTAGCTAAACAACATTTCAAAGTAAAAGCCTGTGAATTGTGATTTCTGTTAAACGATCTCAACGTTAATTCCAAGAATCAAACCCTTATTACCAATGAGAAAAAAAAAAAATTTTCTGCTGACCCTTTCTGTTAAACTTTTTCCTTTCTTTTTCAAAATTTATTTAGACCAATGAAAGGATTTTTATTGAAACAAGAGTATTTTTAACCATATATTAGAAAAAAAGAATAAAATCAAAATATTTTTTTAAAAATTCTTAATTTTATTTATTCGGCTTATAAATGGAGCCATTAATTCGGTTTCGGTAAGTATTTTGTTAGTAATTACATAATGATTGGAATTTGAAGGCTACCCGCACATTTAGTTAACCATGCTTTTCATGTTTTATGAAAATAACATTACGTGTGCTTCAATCCACTAATTACCCGCACATTCAAATCAACATGCATGCTTTTAAGAACCCTCACTTTTTGTTTTTTGCTGGCAACTACTACTGTATATAAATGAATCAAATTGCAGAGAGTAACTACTAACATCTTTTGTTTCCTTTCCCCTCTCTTTTTTAGTATTACAAGGGAAAGACGACTTACTTACATTCATTAAAACAGGGTCTTTAAATCTAAAGATAGCATGACTGAAAAGAAATTAATTTTAAAAATTAGAGAGGCCAAAACGCTTTTATAAAGAAAATTTTTTAAAATTTTGAACTTAAATGGCACAACAGCTCCCATGCGCCCTCCTTTGTCCACTATTATATACACATCCAACAAATCTAATAATGAAAATTAACATAAATAAGGGTATCAATATTTTTTCACCAGGGAAAAAAGATAGGAGGTATGCTTAAATTCATCATTTCATCAGCATATCTATGATTAAATTCTTGAGACTAGACAACATAGTAGATAATGGTATTTTTGTAACTGAACCGAAAAGATTAACTTAGTACAGTGAGCAAAAACCAATCCGTGGTAATAATATTACTGCTAGATTCAAAACAGAAAAAATTACCTTAGAATGAGTTAGAGGTCATTCAAGCACTAGGTTTACGGTTTCAATCTGACAAATATAATTAAAAAGGGCATCCTAATGCAGTAAGCATCCCCTGACTGATTCTGTATTCTGTGACTCGAACTCATGATCTCCAGGTCACAAGTGGGCTTTGACAAACATAATTAATGACATTAATACTGAAAATAATCATGTGTTAATTTTAAATGAAGATGTGCATATTCAAACATATATACACAGTATATGCAGAAAAGATGTAGGAGGAAACGATATTGCATTAGTCTCCCTTCAGTATATGAAAAAATTATTGACATTCTGCTAAAACCGAACCCAACACCGTGTGCATTGCGCCATACAATCTCCCTTGCAATCAATGTTGTAACCTAAAACTTTTGGATTTCGAAGCATAAGATTTCGTAATGATTTTCCTTTTATCCCCCAATCCTTCTCAAGTATCTTCACATTATTCCTCAATTCGTGTTCAAGGCTACAACCGAGAACTTCAGGAAATTTTTTGACCAATTTGTAGAGATCATCATCAGAAAGACCAAGACTTCTCAGATAATCTAATATTTCACTTACAATTTCAAATTTTGGGACTTCTTTTTTTCTTTCTTCTCCCCAGTAAGGCGAATGCACGTGACCAAATGCTTTTCCAAGCATCTTGTCTTTCTCCTCAACACTGAACTCGAATGCAGATAGGGCTTCTCTGCATGCTTCCCATGTCTTCTTCTCTTCATCACTCAAAGTTAAATTGTCAATTTGTGCAGTAGAACGTAATATCCACTTCTTAGGAGAAAAATGAGAGGTATAGGTGATTACACTTGATGAAAAAGCACCAGAATATTTCACATTCGAATGAGCAACACTAGGGGCAAGATTGGGCTGCAATGAGAAGTTAAAATTTCAAAATTATTGGACTCAATAATTTATTGGAACTTTGATAGCCCTTCCACCGAAACAGGCGGATAAGGTGAATTTTAATGCTTCCAATGCTCAAGGACAGTAAAAGCTAATAAAAATTCAACAACTTGACCAAGACAACTTGTCATGCAGTGCAAGCAATTTGGAAAGACACAAAGGCAGATGTGGGAAAACTGCAAAATGCACTCGGTGTGACAGAAGCACAGCATCTTATTTAATATCACCGATCTTTGTTTCTTTGACTTACCACTTGAAATGTTAATCTCTTTACATGCAATGTTAAAGTTTATTAGAATCTTAATCTCTTTGCAAGTTTATACCGGCACAATGGCAAGGTTATTCCTTAGGGACCAATCAGTCATAGGTTTGAGTTGTGGACATAACCTCGCTGCAAAAATATCGGTACAACACATACAATAGACAACCCTCACAAAGCAATGAGCCTCATGCACTAGGGATGCCCTTTAGCATCAAAAGTTTACACTTTAGCTTACATTCTAGGAACAATTAGCAAGACAAAAAAGCATCAAGAAATGACCCAAATAACATAAGCAAGTACATTAATTAGATTTCCTTAAGAAACTAATCCATCACATTACAAGAACATCATTTCAAAGCCTGAACCCCATTTAGGGAATGAATTTGGTGAATATCCCTCCCTGGAAATAATTAAATGAGCCTAATTCATACCATGCAATGAGTTTCCGGTAACAAAATGATCCATATTTTGAATTTGTCATTTTTTTTCCCTGTAATGCTTTCATTCTAAACTCTAGCAAGGATTCTATGTCCTTGCTTCCAGTAATGCTTTAGGAATGAGATATATAACAGTACTTACAGTTAAAAAGCTCAAACATGTCTTGGAATCAAATGTTAACAGAGGAGAAGTCAGTGGTCTTCCTAGCATCCCTGTACTGCAGCCAGAAGTTAGTAAAGGAAAAAATTAAAAAAATAAAAAATAAAAAAGAAGCTTAGGATATAAAAGATGGAAAAGGAAATAGCTGAAATAAGCTTCACAATTTTATTAAATAAAAAGGAAAAATAACGATAGAGAAGATTTTCATGATTCATATTATTTTATAAGAATTATTTACAGGCTGATAATAAATACCATGTTAAGCCTATTACACTCACTTAGAATCTAACTTTTATAAATTAGATAAAATCTAACATATTTACATCAACTTAGCAAAATATTACAGCAATTAATTGGGACCAACTACATTGGCAATTAAAAATACAGGCAAGTTCCTGATTCTGTGCTGATCTTCCTAGCGTCCTGTGTTCCTATTAACTCCGAAAAAAGTTATAATTGCCAAATTTTTAGGATCTACATGAATGCTTTCCCTCCACATGCCCTTCTGGGGTTATATTTTCCGCAGTATGTTTAAATTAATATTGAATGAATGCTCTGTTTTCTTCCTCATCCCCACACAAGAATTATCTCCAAATGCTAGAATGTATATTTAGTTTTATACAGGTACACCAAATCTACAACAGCTCCTCTGCTTTACTACGGGTTGAGATAAAGTATGCCTGAGATTAAACATTTTATACTTATCACAGGTGGAATAAGATTCAATACAGGACTATTGCACATATACACTGTAGCTAGTCAACACCTTCTGAGTATTAGTGAAGACCCCATCAGAGACCACTGTTCAAATGAGTTGGGGACATTGATATATGGTTTTAGGAGAAGTAATGAAGGGTAGGAAAGGAAGATAATCAATTTCTTTATCGCACCAATAGAAATGAAGACAAATAGATACAATCTCCTAAATCTGGGATTCCTTTTGGATTTGGAATAAAAATTAAGACCTTGCAGTGATCTTCCATGATGCATTTACAATCATTTTTTCTTCCAAAGTGTCCAGATTGTCACAAATGCATTTTGCAAAACTTCAGATTGCCTTTGATTAAGAAATTTGAAATTTTAGTTCAAAATCGTATAAAAATCAAAATATACACTTGCAAAATAGGACGAAAATTTTATCCAATCAAATTTTTGATAGTTTAGAAGAAATTACAGCTGCTGTATAATATATTTCAAACTTATCCCCAAATAAAATCTAAATTTACAAATCTAAAATATGTGTTAGATAATCTAAACGACCAAAGAAAACTTACAAACTTCATATAAGTAGTTCACGAAAGAAATTTTAGTACTATCAAGAAAACGCCCATTACAAAATTATGCATAAATATTTTGCATTTAATTCAAAACAACCATCTCTATTTCCAGGACCAAGTTCAAATCTTGCGCAAATATTGATGATTTGATTGTTTTCTACAGAGAATCCCTTATGTTTGTATAAATTCGTCCGTATTTATACAAATTAAAATGTAGAAGCCATACCTGAGTAAAAGAGAGTAAATTCAGTGACCTCACCTTGAGAGAGGGAGAGAGTGAACACAGATAGCACAGAGTTGAACACAGAGAGCACAGAGATAGCAGGAAAAGAATCTGTCCCTACGTTGTATCGAATAGCTAACTTAACTAACTATCCTCCTTTGAGCGCTCTCTTCCTTTCTTTCTGGGTCTTTTTGTCGCGTGGACCGGTAATATTTGAGTGTAGGGATTTCCATGCCCTTCAGTCTTTGAGGATTAACTTGGTCTTTTTTAGGACCTGTGTTGTTCTACATTGATTATGTTGGTTACATGCTCAACACCTGCGTTGACGTGTCATATATTGGCACGCTCTTTTAATTTTTTTCTATCTGTATAATATTAAAATATAAATATTCTTTTCATTAAAATAAATATAATTAATTAATTTATATTATTGCGATGCAAATTACTAGCAACGTTAATTCAAATGAACATAAAGAAAAAATAATATTAAAAAAGAATATTTTTTTCCTTTTATCTCTCTCTAAAAAAATATTTTAAATTATAATAAAAATATAAATCATTTTAAATTAAATAATAAAAATATATCAAATATTTAAAAATAAATTTTAAAAAAATAAAACTTAAATTATAATAAAAATATAATCAAATATTAAAAATAAATTTTAAAAAATAAAACTTAAAATTTTAAAATGTTTAATTATCTATATATCCCTTTCGAAAAAAAATTATTCATATGTATTTAGTTAAAAAATAATTTTAATACGTTATATGCAATCAACTAATAAAATCTAATTTTCTAATTAGTTATGACTAATGTTATTTTAAGATATTCAAATTTCGTTAAGAGCGCTGTTTTCCATTTTTCGGGAGAGACAGATAAGATATCCCAACACAACGGATACCACTAGGAACGGTAAAAACAAATTCTAAGGAATAAATAGACTAGTCTTTTATTAACGTGTTTTGCACGTTAATTATACTCATTATTCATATTCGTTTTTTATTTTTTAATATTAAATACTGATTATTTCATATGAGATTAATGTGAATATGACAGTTAATTAATAAAATAGCAGTATGCATATGCACATACACTTCAGTTCAATTTATATCGTCATTTATCTAAAATTTATTATAACTTTTTCAATATCAACATATATACATTTTAAATTAAACCTTTTGAAGTACATACACTTAGGCGTGACTATGGTTCAAATTATGAAAAAGGTAGAACCGGAATTGAACTGCTTTTTAGGCGATTTCTAAGATAGTTTTAGAATAGTTGGTTTTGGTTTAAAACTGAAATTAGATAATTTATTTCAAATTTTACAAATTTTATTTTGATTTGTAGCTTTTTTTTTTTTTTTTGGAAATGAATATCTGAGCTCTTACCTCATATTATTAGAATCAAAAGCTATTACGTCATCCAAAAAAGGAGAGCATTACCTTCCACTAGAAATTAGCCATAGACACCAATGCCCTTATAATGGCATGAGCAACCTGATTCACAGATTTCTTAACAAAAGCAAAAAAATTTGTCTTTAACTTAGCCAAAAAGAGTTTTACAATTCAAAATCACTAAACCAAAATAAGATAAATCCAAAGTATCAGACTATAATGCATTGATTAACACTTGACAATCTGATTTTATAATTACCGAAGAGAAGCCATTAACCTTCAACCAGCTTAAAGCTTCACGAAAACACATAACCTCTCCTAACTTCGGATCATTTATTGCTGGCCTTGTAAATGAGCAGCCTGCCATACACCTTGCTAAATAATCCCGCAATATAATACCAATGCTAAATACATTATGTTCACCGTCTAATGGAATATCAACATTACACTTATATTTGCCAACAAGTGGAGGAAACCATTTGACCAAAGATGTCAATTCAGTTTGTGCATGTGTACCTGTGGACAAAATATTCGTTGCTGCCATTCTGTCAATTACTGTCGAGCATAGCCAAGGATGAATATGGGGAGAATATATGTTTATTGTGCCGAACCACTTGGTTCCTATGCCACCATAAGCTCCATAAAAGCATAAAGGCTTCGTTCAGGCCTACTGCGTTAGAGGGACGAACAACAGCAAGCCATTCTTGCAACGTGTGAAATGGGCGCCACCCAACCCGAGATAAAAGCTATGTTTGTTTAGTAAAAGCACATAGAAATATAACATGAATTGCAGTTTCTTCTTCAACGCCACAAACAGGACACATTAAAGCAACATCAATATTCTTTCGCAAATTCGCATAACAAGGCAAAACATCAAGAAAAGATCTTCACACATGATGTTGTACCTTTTTTTGGCACCTTTGCTCTCCAAATTGTAGACCAGAAATCCCCATTAGCCATAGTAGTTGGTGCAACTAAATCCATTGCCACCCTATAGCCGCTAGAAAGCTTATACTGCCCATGGTCTTCAAAAGCTCAAAGCCATGAATCTCTTCGAGCAGCTGCTGTTAATGGAATTTTTAGAATGAGTTTGGCATCTCGTGCTGAGAAGAGATTTTTAATGAAAGGTTCATTCCATTGCAATTGATTAGGACTCATCAACATCGAAACAGTCATACCTTCCATAAAAAGCAGGCATGGTGTCTGAATTCGTGGCTGGGCCATGTCCGGCAACCATGGCTTAGTCCAAAATGAAATCTAATGACCAGTTCCCACTTGCATAGGATAACCACGGCTGAGAATAAATTTCGACGTCCAAATACTCTTCCATAAAAAGATGGGTTATTCCCAAGCTCCGATTCAAGGAATTCACGAGATGGAAGTAATGATCCTTTAAAACTTTTTGCACTAAAGAGTGCGGGTTTTGAAGCATCCATCATCCCTGCTTCTCCAAGAGAGCCAGATTAAATTCAAGAAGCTTATGAAATGACAAGTCTCCATGCTCTTTTGATAAACACAACTCATTCCAACTCCTCCATTCCATACTAGCTCCATCATTGTCACATCCACATTTTCTAAACATGCCATCAGCATGCATTAAATCATTTTAGAGTCTCATCATGCATTAATATGAATTAATTATGATTCTGGTGAATTATAGTGCCATAAGGGCATTTTAATAATTTGCCATGTATAGAGGCTATGTTTTGATATATTGTGCAATTTATGATAGACAGTCAGAATTTATATTATGCTTGTGTGTAGTGTCAAATTTGAGCATTGGATTGAAATAGATCAAATTAAATCTACACCATTTTATAATAAAGATAAAATTGGTGTGTGCATCTATGTATTCTTTACCCAATAGTTTAAGATCAAGGATTTATGTGTTAACTACCATGCAAAGACCAAAGGATATTATTTTAAAAAGGTTATTTTGTACAAGAGTTAAAACACCAATACTCAATGGACAATACCCTTATTCACATTATTAACCTATGGACTAAAGCTTAATACACTCTTTTACCCAAAACAATTAACCAATTCCGACGCCAACTCTTTTCTCCCTCTCTCTTTTCTTTCTTTCTTCTTTTTCTTTATTTTCTCTCTTTCTCTTCTCTCACCACCATGGAAAAACCTTACTACCTTCTTCATTGAAACACCATTTCTCTTTATAAAACTAAGTATTTTAGAGAACAAGCACCCTAGTCCACGGATTTGAAGTTTATTTCTCAAGGTAAAGCTTTTAAGTGTGAGTTTTCTCTTCTCTTTAGCTATTGTATCTTTCTCTCTTTTCTAAAACTCAAGTATTTTCCAAATCCAAGGCTAGTCTAGCATTATTAACGTCATTTACATCATTTTAATGTCAAGATTTTTCATTTCTTCCAAAGCATGTAGTAAGTTTTCTTTTTCTATGATTTTAGAGGGAGATACCTCCAAATCTAAAGGAAAAGAAAAGACTCAACCTTGATTTCGTGGATTTCCAGCTTTTAAATCAAGGTTTGTGCTATTTTCTCATCTTTAGATATTTTTAGGAATTTTTTTGCATGATTTTATATTTTTGTGCTCCAAGACTTGACTTTTATGCTTTAAATGAGTTCATCAATGTTTAAGATGTCTCATTTATGCTAGAAATAATTTTTATGAAATTTTAGTTTATGCTTTTCATATTGACCGAATTTAATAATATTTTTTTTATTTAAATCTATATCAGTTTTTAGTGATTTAATGCTTAAATCTACATGTAATGTAGTAGATGCTAAATATAGATTTTTGTAAAATTTAAATGTTTTTTATGTATTCTTCTAAGGTTGGCTAAACTATGTAGTGTTTCTTTTATGATGTTTAAATTTTATTTTATATATGTGATATGTAAATATTGTTGTGTGGATGGTTGAAGATAATTAAAAATAATTTAAATGAATTATTGCACTTGTTATATAAAAATTTAACTAAGACAAAATTTATTTTGGGTACCAAAAAATATTTTCATAACTAATGGACTTATTTGGACATGTTTCAAGGACTAAGGAGATATTTCCCTATGCTTAAGGAGGATTTGGACAAAAAGAGAATTTTAAGGACCATTAGGACAGTTTGCAAGGACCAAAATGCACTTTGCATGCATTATGGACTAAAGAACAATTTGGGAGTTGATTAAGGACTATAATTATAAATTGGACCCTTAAAAAGGATTAATTGTGGACTATGGATAATTTAATATACCATTAGTTTATTTATTCCAAATGGGATCCATTTATAATTGATAAAGACTATAAGGACCAAAATTATAATTGGACTATGGATAATTTAATATACCATTAGTTTATTTATTCCAAATGGGATCCATTTATAATTGATAAAGACTATAAGGACCAAAATTATAATTTGTCCTTAATTAAGATGATGATTATTTAGGATTAGTGATAATTAAGTAGTAGTAATAAATTAATTAGTTAGGAGCAATTTAATTAAGTGGATAGGAAGTTAATTGGTGACATCTAGCTTAATTAGGTACTTAATTGTTAAATAATAGGAATAATAAAAATAATAAAACTTTATGACTACTAAATCAATTTAGTATAATTTAGGAAGTTAAAAGAAATATTGAGTTTTAAATTCCTCTTAGATCAATTAATTAACTAATTGATCCACTTAAGTCCCAATCAGAAGAATATTAGAAATAAGTGAAATATGGATTAATTAGATGGTGATATTATGTTAAAAATTAGTGCATTGAAAATTTTACCATGGTCTTGAGAATTGTGCCTATTGGTGAATTATGAATGACTATGTGAAATATGCTATGATTATGAATTTAATTGGATGACATGAATTTATGTGCCATGGTAGAATATTTTATGAGATAAAAAAAATATCATTTGTGGATATATGTTATGGATTCATCTAATTTTATAAGAATTATGATTAATTAAGTATTAATATGTGTTTATGAGCGATTTATGGAAATGAATTTATGATAAAATATTTAGTATAGAAAAGTATGATTTTTATGAATAAATAGAATTTATGAAAGAGAATATTTTTGGACTGTAATAAAATATTCCGGTATAATTATGAGATCAGGTGTTTTATTTATGAACACTGATTTGTATGAATTATGACATGAATTAATTACAATAAATATTTTATTGGCCTTGGTCTACTTGGTTGAGTCAATAGTTGTATAGAGGTATGTCATGCAATAGGAATACAATACTGTTTATATGTGACATCTAGTGTCTTATAGGGGCTAACGAACCCCATTTTATAGGAGCTAACGAACTCCAATTTAATAGGGTTAACGAACCACATTTTCTGGATATGGCTATTTTATTTTGACCGACGAGTCGTATGATATTATATAGGCTTTCAAGCCGTATGTTTATTATGGAATTCTCTGTCTGCTATTTGATTCTTCTAAGTATGCTAAAGGCCTAATTAAAAATATAGTTTTTATAAATTAATTAAATAAACTTTTATATGTGATCTGGCTAAACGAACCCCATTTATAGGAAGAATAAAGAACTCAATTTAATAGGATTAACGAACCACCATTTTCTGATATGGCATTTTATTTGCACCGACGAATCGTATGATATTATAAGCTTTCATAGCCGTATGTTATTATTGGATATTCTCTGGTTCGCTACTTTGATTTTCTAAGTATGCTAAAGGCCTAATTAAAAATATTACCTTTATAAATTAATTGATAATTAAAAATTCTCTGTCTGCTATTTGATTCTTCTAAGTATGCTAAAGGCCTAATTAAAAATATAGTTTTTATAAATTAATTAAATAAATAATTATGTTGCTTGTATGAACATATGTTGATTTGTGTGATATCATGGTTAGGTATGTCTAATTTAGTGATGCATAATTATTAGATTAAATTAAGCATGTTGACTGTGAATATTTATATTATACGTCTGAAATATGCTATATTATAATTATGTTGTCTATTAATGAATAAATGTTGTATATCATAATACGTGATATTATGACTGCTTCTATGTATTTCCCTACGATAAATGGGAAATAAGCACCACTAAACTTTACGCTTAGAGCGTTGACTTGTCATCTGCAAGTTGCTGATTTGGGGTAGACAATCCGCAATGAGCATCAGACTATTCAGAGGCTCCTATTTAATTACAGTCAGTGTTCAACCAGTTTCTCTTTTATTTCAATAGTTAGGAAAATCTAATGGCATGTAAATCTAATTACGCCACTAGAATGTTTTTATTTAAGTCAGAATGCTATGAAATAAATATTTGAAACAATAGTTTTATTTTCAGAGTTAGAATATTTTATGGCATGTAATGAATATCTTAAATGCTTTAATTAAAAAGGAACTGATTTATTATCCGTATTGAGTTTTTATGATATGTGTTGGATGATGGGTTGAGAATGTAGAGTTGTATTGGTAGAAAAATTTTGAAAATGGTATTGAGGTGTGGATGAATTATAGAAGTGTTTTAAATGTTTTTGTGATACTGAATATATAGGGAAAACTCTTGCAGTTTTTCTGTAGGATTTCTTCGAAAATTTTTGTAAAACTAAAAGAAATATTTTTAAATTGTTAAGTATTAAGCAGGACGGTTTAATACTTCGGTGTTAAACCTAATGTGGCTCTTAAGATCCTATTTTATGAAATTGGATTTTAGGTGTCACATTTAGTGGTATCAGAGCATTATGGTAATTGATTCTAGGATTTAACTTGTTTTAAGGTATAATATAGGTCTAATTAATTTACATGCCCTAAGAGACTGTTAAGGAATATTCCTCTAATGTCATATCCTGTGGATCTTTATGGTTGTAGGTTTATTGGGTTAGGATGTCTGTGTCGGGCTCTCGAGATGCTGTGGACGAGGAGGTGGAGAGCTATGCTCCACCCGTTCCTCCTGTTGCACCTCCTGCTACAGTTCCTATTGGTTTGACTGATCACGGGTGCTCTTAGATATGGTCAAGATGCTTTCCTCCAGCAGATGGGCGACATATTGAGGTAGGCTGTTGGTGCAGTGCATGCTGCTCCTCCAACTGATGTTCCTACTCTTAAGCCACAGATTGAGAGGTTGAGGAAATATGCGGCTGTCGAGTTGAATGACCGAAAGTCAGATCATCTACTGTAGAGTACTGTTAGAGAGTACTGAGCGGATCTTTGAGCAGATGCAGTGTATTCCTGCTAATCGCCTGGTATGTGCATTATCTTTGTTTAAGGAGGAAGCGTATTAATGGTGGGATACAGTTTCCCGATCTGTGGATGTCCATAGGAGGACATGGGACTTCTTTGTATCTGAGTTCAAGAAAAAGTATGTTGGATATTTATATGTGGAGTAGAGGAGACTGAGTTCATGGAGCTTTGATAGGGTAGGATGACTGTTTCAAAGTATGAGCGAGAGTTTGTCAAGCTGAGTAGGTATGTTAGAGAGCTGGTGCCCTTTGAGGAGGAGAGACGCAAGAAGTTCAGGAAAGGCTTGTATGATGAGTTGACGAAGCATTTGGTAGCTCGCCATCACACTGAGTTTTCTACTCTAGTATCTGCTGCACTAGAGCTTGTGGAGGTTAGGACTGACTAGCCGAATAGAAGGTGTAGATCCCAGCAGTTTAAGAGACCTCAGAGTCAGTTAGTCAGTCGGTTTCATAGACTGCCAGTGGATAAGAGGCAGAGGTCAGTTCAGTCATCAGGGCATAGACCGGGCAAAGGTCATTGCCGTGGTACTTCGTCTTTTAGATCTGCCCCATAGTCAACTTCTATAGTTAGTACCAGAGGGTCTGGTTGGAGTGAGTATCCTACATGTGCCCATTGTGGTAAGAGACACACATGTGAGTGTCATAGAGTCACAGGTGCTTGTTTCAGATGTGGTTTTATAAATCATCTATGTAGAGATTGTCTGATGGGTTCTACTACCACAGTTCAGCCTCGATTAGAGAGGTCTACTCCAACTACATCTAGAGGCAAATGTAGAGGTCATATGAACTCAGTGGGTACAGTTGGGCAGAGATCAGCATCGGAGACAGTTAGTAGACCTGAGGGTAGAACAGCTGCCAGGACTTATGCAGTCAGAGCTCTTAAGGAGAAGGATGCTCCAGACGTCATTGCAGGTACATTTTCTATCTTAGGACTTGAAGTACATGCATTGATAGACCCAGATTCCACACATTCATATATATATATGCATTCCTATGAGTATTGAGAGTGGTATTAAGACTGATATGTTAGAGCAAGATATTGAGGTGACCAATCCTTTAGGACATAGTGTGATTGTGAGTAAGGTGTTTAAAGACTGTCCTATTGTTATTTCATGGCTATGTTTTTCCTGGTGATTTGATTGAGTTGTCCTTTAGAGAGTTTGATGTGATATTGGGCATGGATTGGTTGTATAGACACTAGGTCATGGTTGATTACGGAATGAAGAGAATCACACTTAAAACCACTGATGATATTAAGGTAGTGGTTGTAGGTGAGAGATCAGATTATCTCTCTAATGTCATTTCAGCTGTTAAGGCTAGGCGCCTGATTCAGAAGGGTTGTAGTGCTTTCATTGCTTGCATGCTTGAGTCTAAGCATGATGAGCCTAGTTTGAGTGACATACCCTGTAACGTCCCATTTTTCTATGTCTGACATAGTAAGTTGTGACATCCTATTGAATCGAGTCGTTGTTTAGAGTCGAGTCGGGCTGACCCAAAACCCGGTTCAAGCTATTAG